TCATGTCTGTAGCTGACATTTCTAACATCTGTATCCATTCTGGGTTAGTTTTGATAGATTTTTTTTTCCTCCTGAGGGTCATTATCTTCCTGTTTGTGTGTCTGGTAATTTCTGATTGGAAAGCAGATAATTTTATGTTGTGGAATGCTGAAGTTTGATTTTTTTAAAAGCATTTTGGGGCTTTGTTCTGGGATGCAGTGAAGTTGCTTGGAAACAATTTAATGCTTTTGAGGTTTGCTGTTAAGTTGTATTAGGTGGGACCAGGGCAGATTTATTGCAGGGTGGGAGTGGCAAACTATGGATCGAGTCTGGCCTACTGCCTGATTCTGTAAACAGTGGAACAGAGACAAATATATTTGCTTCTGTGCTGCCTGTAGTTGTTCTCCGCTATAATAGCAGAGCTGGGTAATTCTGTCAGACACCTATGACTTGTAAAGCCTGAAAAATTTACTCTCAGGCCTTTACAGAAAAAATCTGGCAACCCCTGTGTAGGGCTTATGTGCCCACTACTTAGGCAGTATCCTTCTGGGGACTCTCCTGCAGACCCTGAGTGTTAGAGGCTGTGCACCCTGGCTGAGGGGATGTCAATAGTCCCTGATCCTGTGTGAACTGGCAGGAGATGATTCCCGGTCTGTCCACCCTAGAGGGTGCTGTGGGGTCTGGTGGAATAGTTCTCAGGTTGGTATGATGATGAGGACGCAGGAAAGTGGCAGCGACTGTGTGCTGAGCATGGGCTCCAGGTCCTGTGCTAGGTGTGTACCTGCATTAATTCACGTTACCCTCCAACAGCCATGCAGGGGGGGCATTGTTATTACCTTATGAGGGAATGAAGGCACTTGCCCAAGGTCATATATCTTCCTAGGACAGTCTAGAGCCCACTCTGCCACCCAGGAAGGGCACAGGGAGTTGGGGATCCCCCAGCAGGGAGATCCTTGAGTGGCACATCAACCTTCCCCATCTTACAGATGAGGAAACAAGACCCAGAGAGGGGCACAACTCACCCAATGTCATGCTCTGTCCTTGGCCAGGGCCTCAGACTGCTGCTAGGGCCCAGGGATGAAGGGGGGGCCTCATTCCAGTGCCCCTGGGCCATGCCATCAGTGCCAGCAGCAGGTGTTACAGGCTTCAGGCCATGTTTGTTGAGGGCAGTGGCCACAGGAGGGGGGTTGCTGCTCCACTGTGGCTCAGACCCCACCTCCTTGCTTGAGTCCCCCCCAGAAACCAGGTGGTTACATGGGTGATGGAGGTGCTCATGGTGGGGCATCGGGGCCTGGGCCAAATACCCATGTCCACCATCCTACTGGCTGGAGGTGAGACCTGGAGGTCCCTACCCCTCTCTGGCCACCGTGCCAGCATGTCTCAAGTGGATGTTCACCCATTCCAAGGACATTGCAGGGACTCTAAAACTGTCAGCAGATTGGTGGGGGATTAGAGTAGATCTGAGAGTAGTCCTAGCTGCGTAGAGTGGTGGGGAATTCGGCCTGGTAGGAGGCAGATCTGTTGGAGTGTGCAGCAAAGGAAAGGGAGGTGTGGGAGATGCTAGAGGAACACTCTTTGGGAGCTTGCACATACTGCAATCCCCTGAGAGACATGGGGAGGCATTTGGTTATGAGGTGCGCTCAAGCCCAGTGCTGATATCAGTCCCTGCTGATGTCCCCTCCACTCCAACCCTAGTACAGCCATTTTCTCAACACCCCCCCCCCCCCAGCTGCTCTCTGGGGCTGGGAACCAGTGTGGTTCCCATGGTGTTTGGCCCCTGCCTGTTCTGTGGCAACACCTTTCCTGTCAGTGAGACCCGGGAACCACCTGGCTCCCTCCTGCCCTCAGGGACTGGCCTGTGCAGTCCATACAGGTTCTGGGCTGTGGGCCGAGGCTGCCACATCAGCTGCACAGTGATGCCAGGCTTGGAGTAGGGGACACACGCCTGCTGTCCCCCCAACGAGGAACAGGCCGTTGGCCCAGCACTCATGTGGACACAGCCGGTCCCTGTATCACAGGGTGAGCTTCAGGGCTGGGACCCAGGCAGCTTGCCGCTGGTGTGGTCCCTCGACATTGGGCAGGGGCGTGTCTAGATTCCAGCCTCCCTCTGTCCTGTCATGGCTCTGGCCCTGGCCTTGCCCAGGGCCTCCGTGGGGGACATGTGGCTGGACTGCAGGAGCAGCTGGTGTTTCCCTCCAGGCAGGGCCAGCAGCTTTGTGCCCAAGCCTTGGGTGTGTGCGCGGGACAGACCGAGTGAGCCGGGCCAACGCCCCCACGGGCAGATGGCAAACTGAGGGTTCAGGGGCCGCTGTGGCTTGTCCCTGGCTGCCCTCACCCTGTAACGCAAGCCATTAGGTCCCATCTCAGCTGGCAGTAGCTCCCGGAGGCCCTCCTTAGTCCAGGCCCCATGTCCCTGATGAGCTCACACTGTCACAGCTAAGCTGGGCCACTCAAATAGTAATTAGGCAAGTGAGTGAACTGCTCTGAGCCTCAGTTTCCCCAACTGTAAGAGGGAAATGACTGCCGCCTTGCAGTGTGTGTGAGGACTGGACAGGTGACAGTTGTTGGATCATACCAGTCCTCAGCACCAGGCCCGGAACCAGTTGTGCTCTCTTGGGCCGAAGGTGCTGTGGTGGGGGTGAGACCCTGTGTTCCAGTCTCGAGCCTCTGGCCCAGCGTTCCCAGGTACCCGATGGGGAAGGGCGTGCAGGACTCTGGCTGCCAGAAAGCCTTTGGGGCCCTGACTGTGAACAAGATGTGGGGGCCTCTGAGGGGAGCGCCAAGCACTCCTCCCTCATGCCCAGCTTTAGGGGGAACCTGTTACAAGCCCTCCTTTGACCACCCCCAGTACCCAGCTCAGTGCCTAGAGAGAGTCAGTGTTCCGCCCTGGGACCCCGTGAGGGATCCATCCTGGGGAGCAGGCCCCAACAGATCCAGCCCGGCAGCAGATGGTCCCTGGATCAGGCATCCTGCCTGCCAGAGGGTGACGTGGGGAAGGACAAACATGGAGCAGGTCCTGCTGGGGCACATCCCTCAGCCCAGGCACAGGGCAAGCCCCCATCTGCCATGGTGGGCAGGGCCTGGAACCAAGCCTGACCAATCCGGTGCAGGGGAGGGCACAAGGATGGGGAGGGGTGGCTGCCTCCTGGGAGAAGCATGTTGCACCCTTCCCAGGGTGGCACGTGAGGCTGTTGGCCTGCCGGAGCGCCGTATCCGAGGGCCTCCCGGGGCTGTGGGGTCCCAGGCGAGGAGGTGTCTGCTACCACCCCACCCACCGCAGAGTCTTGTCACCCTTGACTGATGAAATCCAAGGCTATGTGAGTCCACTCAGCTCTGATATGGGTCATCTGTGCCCTCACTACCCACTCACCAGGTGATCTCTGCCTCTCCTTAAACATCTCTCAGGAGAGGGGTAGCTCACGGCCTCTCAAGACCCTGCCTGACTTCAGGTCAGAAAGCGCTTCCTCTCCTACGGCCAGTGTCTGCCTCCCCTGGTTCCCCTGCTGGGCTGGCCCACCTCCCTCTGTCCGCCTGAAACAGTTCTGTAAAGACGCAAAGAGGGTGGTTGTGTCCTGGAGGACGGACAGGACCCAGGCCTCAGCCACCAGGAGCCCTGGCTGGGTCTCAGCTGCACTGCACCTGCTGTACTGATGAGAACGCTGGGCCCTCCCTCAGACTGATGAGAGAAGCTGGATGCCTTGCTCGGGGACACACAGAGACTGTGTCTGTGGCAGGCCAGGGGCCTGAGGTCCCAGAGAAGCTTAATGGCCTGCAGGGGCCAGCCCGGTGCACCACCGGCGTGTGCGTCCTCATTGCCAACAGGCCCTGGGCTGCCTCCCTGTCACGCTGCGTCTACCGACTGCAGCAAGGGGAACCTGCCAGGCCACCCTCTTGCTAGTGGTGAGAGTGAGCTTGGCTCCCTGACAGGCATGCTAGGTTCTACCCTGAGTGTCACCAGCTTGATGTGTGACCCAGAGCATGTCCCCTGCCTCACTGTGCGAGGCTCCTCCAGGAAGCTCTCACATCTAGGACAGGACAGTGACATCAGCCTTGGAGAGTGGGATGGGCTGGTCTTTCTGGGCCAGCAGTATGGAGCCCTGTCTGATGTGCTCCCCTTTGTTGCCCAGTGGGAAAGGATGGGGGGAGGAGAGCGACTGAAGGCCAGCACCTGGTGGGCACTGAGCCTCCCTGGGCCCAAATGCCTGGGAGCCACCCCTGAGGCCAGCAGACTTGTCCACATCACCCTGCCTTTTGCCTGCACCTCTCCTCAGACCTCGGGTGTGTCACTGACCACAGTGGGCTATGACTGGGCTGGGTAGGGTAGGTGCACCTTGACCTCTGGGCTCTGCCCTGAGCCAGGTCCAAAAAAGGGGAGGGCAGTTATGTGGGCAAAGGTTGGCAGATGACAGGAAGAGCACGTGAGCTGGTGTGGGCAGCACGGGAGCCTGCCACAGTCCACCCTAGGGACGCGGCCACCTGAGTGAGGGCACGGCAGCGGCTGTCCTGACTCCTGGCTGTTGACATGTGCGGTTCATCTCAGTGTCCTGGGGCAGTGGCATGACCTGCAACCCAGGAACAGACCGTGACAGGGCCCCTGGGCTGAGCCCTGACCATCGCAAGGAAGGAGAGCCTCAGCCCAGACCCTTCCTGACTCCAGGCCCTGGGCGAGCTCGCTCCTCCCAGGCTCCTCGTCCGGCTTCGCGCTCTTCCCCCTACACGGCTCACCCGCCAGGTTCCTGAGCTCGGGTTCCCGAGCCTTGTGTTAGGGAAACAACAGGCCTGGTGAATGTACTTCTCTACTCCCTGATGTTGCCGAGTCCAGTCTGTGCCACTGACGGAGAATCTTGCGTCTTAAGTGTGGGTACTGAGCCTGGAATTTTCCTGTCCCGGTCCCGAGGCTTCGGGGAGTGGGCCTGGAGTGGCACCTGGAGAGGGTGGCGGGTGTGGGCGGCTGAGTCTTGCGAGGCTCCTGTCCCCACTGTGGCACTGCCCGACGGCCCGGTCTCTCTTCCTGTTCCCAGGTGATAGCTGTGGTCATGGACATGTTCACCGATGTAGATATCTTTAAGGACCTGCTGGACGCCGGCTTCAAAAGGAAGGTGGCCGTGTACATCATCTTGGACGAGAGTAACGTCAAATACTTCCTGCACATGTGTGAGCGAGCCCGCATGCACCTGGGACACCTCAAGGTGAGCGGCTGGTCACGGATGACCAACTCGTCACTCAGCAAACACTTCGTGCACCTGCCCTCTGGAGACGGGGTTGGGTGCCAGGCACAGAGTTTAGGAATCTAAAGCCTCCTGCCAGGTGGTCACCTAGCCTCTGCTCGAGTGTCCCGAGGGTCGGGGCACTAACTCACTAACTCCCTGCAGCAGGCAGAGAGCAGGTCGACGTCGACGAAGGGCCTGCTGGCCAGGTGCCGGGACCCACGCAAGGTCTACCTCACATGTTTTTCAAAGTAGCCCATGGCACGCTGGTTCCCTGTCCTTGCTTACACACCTCCAGTGGCAGGTGCTCGCTGCCTGGCTCCGGCAGCTCAGTCTTATCTGGAGAGCTCTGACTCCCAGGAAGTTCTTCCTGAGTTTAAGCCAAAGTCTGTCTCTATAACGTCCACCCACCAGTTCTAGGATCTGGCTCCGACAGGGAGCTCCCTCTGGCTGAGGTCAGGGACGGCTTCAGATGCAGAGTGAGAATGGACTTGAGCAATGAAAGCAGATAGAGAGTGAACTAGTTAACCCCTCCTGGGGGACACCATGGAGCAGACATGAGGGGGTCCTCCTGGGGGACACCATGGAGCAGACATGAGGGGGTCCTCCTGGGGTCACCATGGAGCAGACATGAGGGGGTCCTCCTGGGGGGCACCATGGAGCAGACATGAGGGGGTCCTCCTGGGGTCACCATGGAGCAGACATGAGGGGGTCCTCCTGGGGGGCACCATGGAGCAGACATGAGGGGGTCCTCCTGGGGTCACCATGGAGCAGACATGAGGGGGTCCTCCTGGGGGGCACCATAGAGCAGACATGAGGGGGTCCTCCTGGGGGACACCATGGAGCAGACATGAGGGGGTCCTCCTGGGATCACCATGGAGCAGACATGAGGGGGTCCTGATGGGCCTGGGTTCTTAGCACTGCTTTGCTGTGTGTCCTTGAGGACATTATCTCCCCTCCTTGGGCTCCAGGACCTCACTGGCCTCTTCAGCAGACACCCTGGAATATGGTACTTTGCTTAGGGACAGAGGGAACCCTCCCTCCACCCTGACATCACTTGGCACCTACTATGTGTGGCACAGTCCCCAGAGCACAGATCCGTGTGCACGAGAGCTAATGTTTCTGTGGTGTTGGACATGTGCCGCACCTGCCTGGCACTTTTCATAGTTAATTATTTCCTCCACATGACAGCCCAGCTGTTCCCATTTCACAGGTGAGGAGGTGGAGGCACTTGCCCAGGTGCCACTCAGCTAGAAGGTTAGAGAGGGGGAGTGTGGGGCCAGCGCCGGAGCCCTCTGGCTGAGAGCAGCCTCGGGTGGATTGGAATTCCTTGTGCTTTAGGCTGTGGTCGGAACAAAATCCTGGGAGAAGGGGAGATGCCAGGCTGGTTAATAAGGGGCTGGGCACCTGTGCCTGTAATTTGTTGGCATTTGTCAAGTAGCCCCCCCCAATCCCAACTGAGCCTTTCAAGTGGGCGTGAGCTCTGAATGGTGAGTCTCTCGCTGTTGGGACGTTTTTATGTGGTCTCCTGGTGGGTGACCCCAAACCCCACGCTCGCTCACCGCACTGCCTGCCGTGTAATTAGCACCGAGCGCTGAGTCCGGGCAGACAGCTCATGCTGGAGAGGCCCCGAGCGTGGAGACGCGTCTCGGAAAGGTGACCAGCAGACCGGAGCACCGCTGGGCTGTCTGTGCGGTCCCTCCCTGGGCCCAGGAGACCCAGCAGGCCTGCCCCACTGCGCCCTTGCCACGTGCCAGCGGGGGCTCTCCGCATGCCCCTCGCTCAGCCCCTGCGTTCCCATCGAGTGATGACGAGGCAGGAGTGTGCCTGTCCGTGCCCAGCAGGGGCCCAGACCTGGGGCTGCTCCAGGGGCCTCGCCCCTGTCCTGTGCCCAAACCTCTTCGCAGTAGGGAGATCCCAAAATCAAGTCTCCTTGGAGTGTTCGGAGCTCCCAGAAGTGGGGGCAGGTGGGGCCGGGCCGAGAGCTCCACTAGTAGGCCGCGCAGCTCCCTCCCTGCAAGGCCGGCCTTGCTCCCCCACCCACCCGCCTGCCCTGTCCTTCACTCCCCGTGCAGTTGGGGGACTGAGCATCTGCTGCAGCCTCACGGCCTTGTGGGAACCTGGAATGCCTGAGCCAGAAGGGGCCCTGCGCCGTCGTGTGAGGCTCTCGCAGGATGAATGGAGAACCTGAGGTTGAGGGAGGCTGTGACTTGCCTCCTTGTCCTCCAAGTTGAGCTGAACCTGCCATCCAGTAGTGAGGGATCAGCACAGACCCTTGGTGCCGATGTCCCCGACTGAGGCTGCACCTGCCAGAGGGCCACTGTGGGACTTGGGTGTGTGGTTCCGCCTCTCTGAGCCCCCAGGGCCTCATGGCTATAATGATGCCTCCTGGAGTTGTTTGAGGATGAAATTAGAGGAGACAGAGGTTATAAAAGTGCTCTATGAGCTAAGGGGAGTTATGCAGTTCCTGGTAATAACAAGAAATTATAAACCCCAGGCCCTGGGCAGGGGACAGGGTGTGGGTGTGAGGCCTTCTTCCCTCTGCCCCAGCTTGAAAATGAAGCTATAGCTGGGGTCACAGGAAAAGCAGCTCGCCCTGGGGGTTCCTGGCCCAGCCTGCCCACTAGCACCGCCCTGCACTGGGAAGTTGGCAGGGTCTGCAGGGTGATAGGCCCAGGAGCCAGGTGCTTCCTGGGAAAGCATGTGTAACCCTGGTCTCCCCATTCTCACCTCTGAACCCACCTCCTCTACAGCCTGGATGGGTGGCTAGAGGCTCCTGTGGGCCCAGCCCTAGCCAAGTGTCACCTTGTCTGGGGCCTGCCCACACGGCCCACCTCCCTGCCCGCGGGCCGGCTGGGCCCGGACCTGTCTTGGGAGTACTTCCTCTGCCAGTAATCCCGGGCTCGCCCTCGGCCGCCTGCCGTCATTGGCTGGCTCTGCTTCGACCTGCCCTCAGATCTGCAGGCCCAAGGTACAGGGTGCACATGGTGAGGTCATACTTGTGGCCACGGCAGTGTCGGGTGCCAGTCGAGGGGCAACACTAGGAACCAGGCCTGAGCCCCAGCTCTGCCACCTGCGCTATGACCTTGGACAGAGACATTGAATCTTTCTGGGCCTCTGTCTTGTCTGGAAACGGGAATACCATCATTTACTTGCCAGGGCTGCTGTGAAGGGCAGAGGCCATGCGGGAGCAGGACACCCATCCTGTCTTTGGCTGGGGACAGGCACAGTTCCTTCCATGAGAGCCCAGCTCTGGTCTGAAAGCCAAGGGGCTTCCTTTCCTGCTTTTAGCCACGGTCTGGCTGGGGCCCACCCTCAGGCCTGCTTGGGCAGCACCTCCCCAGCCACTTGCCTCCGGAGCTTTGAGTTCACACCAGCACATTCTGGAAACAGCTGCTTTCTGGGTGTCAGCTGAGGTAGCAGGACATACTAGCAGCTCCCCAGGTGTGAGGGCCACAGTCTTCCCCGAGCACCTGGCCCCTGACGGCCTATCAAGTGGAGAGTGTGGGAATGAAGGTCCCTGTTACAAATGGGCAACAGGCCTTCAGAAGACGACCCAGCCCTCACGCTCCCAGGGCCAGGCCACGCGGCCAGACCACATCTGGGGGTGAGACTGGGTGCCAAGGGATACCCCAGAGCCAGTGGGAGCCAGGCTGGGTCCCGAGGCGCATAGCTTAGGAGAGGACGGGAGCTATGAGATGCCCGGCCGATCTGAAGAGCTGGTTGGCTTTGTGCAGCCAAACTGGAAAAGCCAGTAGCCGCCTGGGCAAAGTCTGGACCCATTTCTGATGGAAAAAAAAATCCCAGCAGGATGGCTGTGGAAGGTGCTGGGTGGGGGTGCGAGGCCTCGGCCTGCAGCTCAGGTCCCACACTGGTGCCCCGCCCCCCCCCTCTCTGTCCCTGGCCTGGGTCTGTGATGGACTCAGGGTGTGGGGCAGGGCTTCTCAAACTGAGGGGTTTGCCTGGCTTGGGACATTTGGCAGTGTCCGGAGACATTTTTGATGGCCACCACTGGGATGGAACTACTGGCCTCTGGTGGTTTGGGCCAGGAATGTTGTTAACTGTGCTGTGCTGCACAGGATAGCCCCACGGCAGTCCCCTCGCTTGGAGCAGCCGCAGCCCCGAGCCTGAGCAGCCAGCCCGGGGGAAGAGCGGAAGCCCCTCCAACAAGCGAGCTGGTGCAGCACTGCCAGGCCCTGTCCCCAGAGCCGCGTCACAAAGGTGCTTCCTGTCCCAGCTTCATGGCAGCCAGGTGAAGGCCAGGGTGTGCCTTGGCCCCTCCCCCATCCCTTTAGAAGAGAGCAGGCACCCAGCACACGGGGACCTGGGCCCTCTGTCTCCTGCGCTCTGCACACCTGGCCTGGTCTTCTTGTCATTGGCCAGGCCTGGTGAGGGTGCACCTGTGGGCCTCCCCACTCCTCCCTGGGCCCAGGAGATGCCAGCGGGCCCCTGCAGAGTGTGGGGGTGAAAGAGCCACCACGCTCTAGTCCCAGGGGGTTCGACCCGCCTCCTCTCTGAGCCCACCTGGCCATCTCGTGCAGCTGACAGTCCTGGCTTCCCTGAACCCGAGTCCATGCTCAGGTTTCCTGGTCCTGTGTGTCCCCTCTCGCCCACACCCCAGCATGCACAGCCACGGCCCACCTTGTCACCTGGCACTGATGGCACACCCCTGAGTGCCAGGCACCTTCCAGGCCCCCACCTGCATGCACTGTGGTTTCATTCAGTCCTCGCAGCAGCCCTGTGGCATAAGGGTGGGGAGGCCCATCTCACAGATGAGAAAACTGAGATGTGGAGAAGCCAAAACGGTGTTTGGTTGGCGCCAGGACTGGAGCCCTGTCTGGCCAGAGCTCACGATGCCCTGGACCCACCGTTTCAGAGCGCCTGGGCTTGTCCCCTTTGCCTCCCTCTCTGGCAGACTTAGTACACAGTCCAGTCCCATCTCTGTGAGCTCAGGAGGCTGGATGAGGTGTGAGGCAGGGTGTTGAGTTTTGCCCCATTGCTGTGCCCACCCCCACCCTGCCCAACACACGCTTGGGGCAGAAGCCACCTTCGGAACAGGTGATGTGCTCCCCTGACATCTTCTTGGGGACCCATCGCTGCCCCATTTCAGGTACAAGGAAACTGAGGTTCCACAGAGTCCAAGGACTTGCCCAGGGCATCCCACTTAGGCCAGCCCGCTGCTGCTGTTCCAGGTGTCCGCCCCCTGCCCGCTGTGTCCTCTGCCAGAGGTGTCATGGGGCTCAGACACAATGCGGCTTTGTGGGAGCCTCTACTGCTCACCCAAGCCCTGACTCCTGAGACGTTACCTCATCTGGGCCAGGCCCCATGGGGTGGGGCCCACCCAGGAAAACAGGCCTGGAAGCTGATATGAGGCGGGGGAGGGGGAGTGGCAGCTGCCATGAGGCCCCACCTGCTGCTGAACCCAGGGCTCAGAGGCCTTAGAGTCGAGGCTGGTCCCCAGTATGCAGACAGGGAAACTAAGGCCCAGAGACTTGCTCAGAGTCACCCAGCAAACACAGTGCCTCTCACGGAGCTGAGTCACTGAGACGTAGGTGACGATCTTCTGAGTGCTCCATCAGAACAGGGGGCAGACCCTGGAGAGAGGGGACGGAGGCTGGTGGCTGTTCCCCAGGCTGAGGAGGAGCCCGTGGCCCCGGTGCGCAGCGCGCTGGGCCAGGAGCCGGAGAGCTGGCCGTGCTTAGGCACAGGTAACAAGGAGGGCCTTGTACCGCCTCCAGGATCTTTGCTCCGATTTCTGGTCCTGAGCGTGCTCTGTGTGGGGTACAAAGTCATGAGCACTAATTGTCCTGGGCTGTAGCCAGCTTCCCGCTGAGCTGGCTGTGTGCAGACAGGCAGTCTTGGGGGGCAGAGGAGCTGGCCCTGGGAGCGGAGGCTCATCTGCCTTCTGGGATGGGCCCAACAATGACAGCTATTCACCCCATGGCTGGGTGGGCATCCATGACCTGCCCCTCAATCTTGGACAGAGGGGGTCTGAGACCTGTCACACACCTGAAGCCATGGGTAGGAGTGGAGGGCAAACTCCGGCTCTCACTCATCCCTTTTGCCCCGTTGCCCTGGCCCTGGCGCAGGCCCACCTCCCTTGCCCACAGCAGCCCCTCCTGTCCTCTGCCTCTGGCTCCCCCTTCATTTCATGTGTCCTCTGCTGGGTACCAGCCTCTTCTTGAGGTACAGCTCCAATTTCGCGACTCCCTGCTGAATCCTCCCATGGTTTCTGCCGCCCCCACGGCCGAGGCAGGCCCTGGCAGGTGTAGGGTCTGCCATCAGCGCCCCTCAGCTCACTGTGCAGGCCGCACTGCCCCCCCCTGCCGACCCCCACCTCCCCTGAGGTCCTCATGTGTCTAAGATGGACTGCGGCTCTTGCCCCAGCTGCTGTGTTCCCGTGTCTGGAATGCTAACCCTGACCCTGACCTTCCCTGTCTTTCCCACGTCAGCCTCTCCCAGCCCCCACAGATGGCATTATTCCTGAACACCGCCGACATGGGGCCCTCGTCTCCGCCATCTCCGTCTGCGGCTGGGGACCTTGGTGGGGTTGGCGGGTGAGAGAACGAGTGGGCAGTCGGTGAGCTCAGGCCAGTGAGTGGGTGACGGTGACAGAAATCAGAGAGGGTGGGACAGCCTAGTGCCCAAAGCTGGCATGGAGCCTCTTGGGAGAGAGTGAGACTCCCATCACGGGGGCATTCAAGCAGACCTGGCAGGGGTTAAAAATGAAATTCCCAGCCTGACCTCAGGCCTCCTGAGTCGACTCTCTGGGGCACCCGGGAGCCTGGGTCTCTGGCACTGACCCCCCAACAGTGCACAGAGGAGCCCAAGTCTCCTTTCAGGCCTGAGGTTTGGGGTACCCCCAGCCATTCCCTCAACTCCGAGTTCTCAGCCGGGTTCACCTGGCCCCTCCTGGGGCCTGCCCTCCCTCAGAGCTACAGCTTCCTTCTGTGGGTGCGGGGACCCCCCCCCCCCCCGGGCCCTGCAGCACCCAGCCCACAGAGAGCCGTAGACTTTGCACCAGGGAGAGCGGGCTCTTCATGGCCAGAGTCCAGAGAAGGGCCGGAGAGGCCTGATCTTGGCCTGAGGCACTGCTCTGACGCCGGGGAGACCCGTCCCTCGCCGGGCCCAGCTGCCTTCCCATGGCCCCCAGGCCTTCCAGCTTGCACCCGAGCCACACAGTGCAGGCCAGGTGGGGAGTGGGGTTGACTGTCCGCCGGGCTGCTCCTGGGGACCAGGCGGTGGCTGGCCCCAGAGAGGTGGTTTGCTGGGAGCCCTGCCCTCGGTGAGCAGAGACCAGCAGCGACACTGAGACAGCCCGCGAAGCGGACCCGGGGAGAGGCCTACCAGTCCCCCATCCTGGGAAAGCGCATATCTGCCAGAGTGGGGGCCAGGGCGGACCCAGGGAGACGCCTACCAGTCCCCCGTCCTGGGAAAGCGCATATCTGCCAGAGTGGGGGGCAGGTCCCTGTGGCTCCATCTCCCCTGCACAGCCCGAGCCGTCGCTGGACCTTTCTAAACTGTGTCCACACCCTCCTGCTCAAGACCCTGCTGCCCGTAGCAGATCTCCCCAAACTGGCCTGGCCACACAGGCCTTGTCCTGCCTGGGCTCACTCTGTGGACATCCTTCAGGCCCCCACTGTCTGTTCCAGCTTCACATCCCGCCTGGGCCCTGACCCTGCAGTCCCCCCACACCACCGCCCTCCCCAGGCCTCACCGCTCATCCTTCACCATCCAGGCTCCCCCAGAGCCCCTGAAGCCCAGGCAGACATTGCTGGGCCTCCCCTCAGTGTGGTCAGTGCTGTGGTCATGTGATTCTGTCTCCTGTCCCCTACACAGAATCTCAGGGTACGGAGCAGCGGGGGAACAGAGTTCTTCACGCGGTCGGCCACCAAGTTCAAGGGCGCCCTGGCCCAGAAGTTCATGTTTGTGGATGGAGACCGAGCCATCTGTGGCTCCTACAGGTGACTCCTGGCTTTGTGGGGGCTGGGGGGAGAGGCCGCTCTGGATCTCGGCTGGTTTCTGCCCTTAATCCTGCCTGCGACGCCCTGGTTATTCCGGTTCATTGGTCCCCAAACTGCTGAGGTGTGAGCTGGGCTGGGGCACACCTGCACGCCACCCGCTGTCTCCAGAAACAGTCAGAGGAGGGCTTTTGTCTGTGAGACTTGTTCCAGCCTAGAGGTGTCGCCAGCCTGAAGGTGGGGTGTGGGCCAGGCCAGGCTGTGTCTTCCCGGGCCCACAGGTAGTTCATCTGAAAGCCATCTTCAGGGACAGGGCCAAGATTAGGACAACCGTGGCCCAGCTCTGTGAGCCCTGCCATGCAGGGGGCAGCACAGTGGGTGGTGACAAAGACACCAGGTGTCCAGTGCTGCTCTGGGCATTCAGTGAGTGGCCTTCAAGATGCTGTGACCTGCAGAGGGACGCAGCGTCGTGCTGTTCATACAGGTGGGGACGGCTTGGTGTCTGACTTGCCTGAGGACCCACATTGAGGTCTGGCCCTGAGGCTTGTGCCCTGTCCTCTGTCCCCCCTCACTTATCGACCCCATCAGGGCCCCTTGCCAGGGTCTGATGGACAGCAGCCTGTGGGATGTGTGGTGGCTCTGGGACGCCCACTGCGGGGCGCAGGGCGCGGGGCCGAGGGAGGGAGTGGGCCCGCACGCCTGACCGGCAGCCCATCCCTGTGTTCCAGCTTCACGTGGTCGGCCGCGAGGACGGACCGGAACGTGATCTCCGTGCTGTCCGGCCAAGTGGTGGAGACGTTTGACCGGCAGTTCCAGGAGCTGTACCTCATGTCACAGGGCGTCAGCCTCAAGGGCATCCCCATGGAGAAGGAGCCCGAGCCGGAGCCCATTGTGCTGCCCTCTGTGGTCCCTCTGGTGCCCTCTGGCACTGTGGCCAAGAAGCTTGTCAACCCCAAGTATGCGCTAGTCAAGGCCAAGAGCGCTGAGGAGATCGCCAAGGTCTCCTCTGAGAAGCAGGAGGTCAAGAAGCCCGCGGGGCTGCGGGGCCCGGTGCTGGCCGAGCAGCCGGGAGACCCCCCCGAGCCGCCCCTGCCTATCCACCCAGGGCTGCTCAACCTGGAGCGGGCCAACATGTTCGAGTACCTGCCCACGTGGGTGGAGCCAGACCCCGAGCCAGGCAGTGACATCCTGGGCTACATCAATATCATCGACCCCAACATCTGGAACCCCCAGCCCAGCCAGATAAACCGCATCAAGATCCGAGACACATCCCAGGCCGGCACCCAGCTGTGGAGGCAGAGCCAGGACTGCAGCCCTGCTCCAGAGCCCAGCAGCCCCCAGGACGGGGTCCCAACCAAGAATGGGCTCCCCCAGGAGGACCCCAAGCCACAACCCCCTGTGCCCAAGCCCCGGACGGTCCCCGTGGCAGACGTGCTTGCCCAGGAGGGCAGTGGTGTGGGCGGGGCCCTAGAGAGCCCCGAAGAGGAGGTGCCCCAGGCCAGGCCAGGCCATAGGCTGCCCAGGACACCAGGCCCAGGCCACGTCCTGCCCCAGCGGCAGCTGTCTGTGACCCAGGATGACCCTGACGGTGAGGGGCTGGTCCCCAATGGGCTAGATCGGGAAGAGGAGGAAGATGATGATGACTACGTGACCCTCAGCGACCAGGACAGCCTCTCGGGCAGCTCTGGCCTTGGCCGTGGCCCCCGGCGGCCCTCAGTGGCCTCCTCTTCTGTGTCAGATGAATATTTCGACGTGAGGGAGAGCTCAGCCCCTCTGCGGAGGCGCCACTCAGAGCAGGTAGCCAATGGGCCGGCCCAGCGCCCCCGCCGACAGCTGAGTGCCCCCCACGTGACCCGCGGAGCCTTTGGTGAGCCCCCGTGTGGGTCACTGTGGGCCCCAGGCCAGGAGAGAGAAGAAGCCAGCACTCTGCGGAAGATGCAGGCCTTGCGCTCCGTGGACAAGGAGGCACAGGTGGGTCGGGGTCCCTTCGCACCAGGGGTCCGGGAGCCCCTTTCCCTGGGCCTGAGCACCCAGAGTGGCCATCTCCTGGGCTCCCTAAGGAATGGGGGCGGGGAGTGGGTAGAAACCACCCAGGGCCACATGTGTGGCAAAGACCTTCGGCCCCAGTGTCCCCCAAAGGCAGCCTCTGCCAGCTTCTGGGGTCTGGGTGGAAATGGGTCTAACGTGCCCAGAGGTCCCAGACCCACGGTGTGATAGGGAGTTGACGCCGGGCTTTTGGACTAGGGAATGGTAGTGGCAGAGGTATTTGTTTAAATCCCCAATGTACACAGCTGTGAGTGGTCCTTGTCAGGCCTTACGCCAAGCCACCTCTGTGTTGATCCCGTTGACTGTGGGCTTGGGGACCACTCTCCTCCCTGCTCCCCCAGGCCAGGAAACAGCTCACATGCATCCTTTGCCTCTCTTCCTGGTAACCTCTGCAGCCCCGGCCCAGCCCCTGGCGCCTGCCCTACCTGGGAACAGCGCACGGCTGATCATGCCTGGCATGACCATCAGGCACATAGGCAGCATCTTGAGGTAGCTGGCCAGGATGGAGCCTGCTTTGGCGTGGTTCAGGTCCCGGGCAGACAGCGACCGCTGCACGATGACCTGGGGGCAATGAAGGCAGTGAGTCCTGGCTCCCCTCGGGGCACCTGTGGCAGGACTCCTCCCTGGTGAGGCTCGGGAGAGGCGTGACATGCTGTCCCACCAGTGCCAGACTCGCCCGAGACAACCAAAGCCCCAGCCCGATACTTGACGATTCCCCCAGAAGCAGAGCTCACCCCGATTGGCTGCAACTGGAGTCAAGGTACTCTCATTCCAGGGACTCAGTCTCCCCAGCTGAGCAGGAAAGGTGCGGATTCTGCCCAGCCTGTCACCCAGCAGATGGCAGGGCTGGAGAGACCCTGTGTGGACTGGTAATGGGGGCTCCCCCATCTCCGGCACCCTCACAAGAGAGACTCATGCACGTGCAGGAGGAGACATTGGCACCAGCTGGTCTGTGTCCTGGGCAGAGATCAGAAGCTTTCAGACCTAGGGTTTGGGAAGCTTACAGTTCTAGGATGCCCTCGGGCAGCCGCAGGCAGCTCCTAGCTGAGCCTCAGTTTCCAGGTCTGCAGAATGGGAGGGGGAGGGAAGGGTAATGAGAGCTGATGGCATCTGAGATCTCTCCCAACTCTGACGTTACGATTCTACTTTGTTTTAAAGCTTTTTTTGAACAGCTTTATCAAGATATAAATTCACCTATGGTTCAGCCACATAAAGTGTGCTTTTCAGGATGTTCACAGTGTTGTGCAATCGGTAACTTTTAAATAAAAATTTTCCCTTCGCTGTTCTGCAGTGTAAATCACTACCAGCAACTCAGATGTAGGCGTTATCTGTGACTTTAGCTATGTTCCAAACGTGCCAGTGTAACAGGTGGTTCCCAGCATCCCCTTGACTGCATGGCCCTCGGTGGCACGTGACACACCGGGCACAGGGGGTGGCTGCACTGGTGTGCGGACAACCTGCTCCTCCACCAACTTCTGGTGACTTGGGGACGATGCCCTGCCTCGTTCTGGGCCTCGGTTTTCCTGTCTGGACACTGCGGAGGCGAGACGCAGCTCTCCGCAGACCTTTCCGCACTGGTGTCTGGGGACACAGAAGCCTAGGGCCACTCCTCTTGGGAGAGGAGAAGCATTTCCGGAACCCTGAACGCTGTAGTCTATCATTTCATTCTGTGCTCTCGGGGCCGGCCCTGGGGAGGCAGGCAGGACCGGTTTTGCTGTCCCATTCTGCAGGTGGAGAAGCTGAGGCTCAGGACCCCATCAGGCCTGTTTTATTGGTTTTGTTTGCTTCTAATTACAAGAGTGTAGCCTATGCACTGTGGATGAGCTAGCAGATAGTGAAAAAAAGTCTAAAGAAGAAAATGAAAAGTGCCCTTGGCCCCAGCACACAGCGCTGCCACCAGACTGGGCATCTTGAAGGGGCATCCTGGCCTGGGACTGGGTCCAGTTAGCCCCCCGGTGTCCTGCAGAGCCCCCAGTTGCTAGTGAGGGTCACAGCAGAGCAGGGCCAGGAGGACCAGACAGGGGGGACCCAGTGGACCACTCTCTGTTCTGTGAGGACTCTGGCAGACCCAGACTAGGCAAGAGGAGGACAGGGGGTGAGGCTGGGGCCAGGCTGTGGGCCCCCTGGGGTCAGCCCTCTTTCCCAGGCAGGGACGCCCGGTCAGCCGCAACCTCGCGACCAGGCCCACTTGGCCTTCATGGGAACATCTCCTGAATGATACCCTGCCCAGACATGCCAGTACCACGCCAGGCCTGTGCTGAAGGGAGGAAACGGCGGTGCTGGGGTAGGGGGCAAAGGCTGGCTCGGCGGGGCAGCCCAGGCGCCCGCAGCCCTCCCCCCGCAGCCTCCCGCCAGCCCGCACTCGCTGGCCTCAGCCCTCCCAGGAGAGCCGAGCGGAACCTCCCGGGAAATCACATGTTCCTTGGAGGCCCACAAGTGAGGCGAGGCCAACGTGAGAATCTGGGGGCACCATGTTACAGATGGGGAAACTGAGGCCCAACCTCCCAGGGTTTCTGAGCCTCCCGACGTGGATCGCTGTGCGCTGTCAGCCCAGGGGGAGTCTGCCAGCACCGGCTGCTCCGGACAGGGCGAGCCCAGGCAGCACCCCTCCCTGACAGGCAGCCATGGCCCGTGAAAGGTCACTCACTCTGGCTGCAGTCCCGGTCCTCCCCTCTGGTCCTCAGTGCTCCAGCCGTGATGCAGCTCACTGAACATACCCCTCAGGGGAGGCCGTTCCCGCTGACCCACAGTAACTGGCTGGGCTGGGCTGGCCCTGGGGCCTGGCTGTCTCACTCCAGTGATGGGGCCCTTGGGGCTTGGGTCCAGCAGCCTGGTCCACAGGTCTGTGCCTGTGGGGGCCCTGCGCTCCACGAGGCCCCTTCCCCCGAGTGCTGCCTGGAGCTGCCGGTGGCCTTCCAGGGCCGGCAGAGCGAGGCCTTGTCGGCTCTGTCCAGAGGGGGGCTGCCTGAGCCCCTGCTGCATTCACAGCTCCGAGAGGACCGGAGTCAGACTCCGCGTGAAGAACCACCCCGGCTCCACCGGAACGAGGGCCCAGATCAGCCCCGCCTCTGACACCTGGCCCAGCCCCACTGACAGGCAGAGGCTGGCACAGGGGCATCGAGGAACAGTGGGCACTTGCCCAATCACAACCACAGAAGGTGGAATTATTCCCATATGATACAAGGCAAAACTGAGGCACAAATTTCGAAGCAAACTGGTCCCGGCCCACCAGCTAGTGAGTGGCAGGGCCAGGAGACAAGCCAGGTGTGCTGGCTGCAGCCTGCCTGGCACACATCTTGCAGGAAGGGATGGAGATGCTCCCTGGGATGTCACTCTGTCTTTTCTCTCTCTCCCAGGACCACCATTATGGAGTCCCTGCCTTGGGGACCAGGGAGAAAGATGGCTTCCCACAGCCGTTGAGGACCCCAAGATCCCCGGGGTACTGCCCCGCTGCTGAGGACGCCCAGAGCTCTACCAGGAAAGCGGGTTCCCATTACTGGCAGGCCAAAGGCAGCCTCCTGCCGGGTCCCAGGAGCCCAAGGCTGGCCCGAAACGCCAGTCTCCTGACTGACGGCAGAGCCACCGTAGTGCACCCGAGCCCTTTTGGAATCCCATACTCCAGACTGTCCCAGTCGAAGCAACTGAAGGCCAGGACAGGCGGCAGCCAATGGGCCTCATCTGACTCTAAAGGGAGGGTCCAGACCCCTCGGGACCACAAGGACCCCTAGCCAGGTCGTCCGCGGCCTCCACCCAAGCCCAGACCGACCAAGCAGGTGTTCCCAGGGCCACACATGGATTGGCAAATCGGCCGCCGGACTCTCCAGAACCCACCCCGGAAGGCAAGAAGGTAGCAGGCGATGATGTTGACACACCTGGTCGGTGCACCAGTACCAGGTGGCCATGATGGTCAGACCAAAGGTCATCCCAGTCCACGGGAGGTCCCCGGTGTGGGGGTCTCGGAACATGTGCATGGCATCCTCACGTGGCAGGTGGCAGGTCGTGTTGGCAACGATCCTGGATGGTATGGCCCGGGCGTAGGCCGTTGCCAGATGCTCGTACCCGCCGATCTGGTCGAAAGCTGGTCAGGGCGGGCAGGACAGGGACGGGTTGGTGGCTGGTGGCCCTGACTCCCAGCCCCCCAGCGCCCTCACCTCACAGGAACTTCCTGAAGCATCCAAATGGACTTTTTCCCAATTTACCTTTCCCAGTGTCTGGAAGAGTGTGGGAAGGTAGAGGGTTTTTAAAAAGGTGAATTCAAATGACTATTTTCTATGTATTTAAAATAATACTATTAAATGAGCATTTCCCATGTGGGCAGCTCGGTGTCCTGTTGGCCTTTGGGTGCCAGTTGGCCTTAGGCAAGGGGTGTTTGTGCCAGGCTTCAAACCATCAATTCAAGGAAGCAAAAATATTTTTTCTTAATATTTAAGTTCCTTCCAGGAAGCTTGAAGTGTTGAAGTCCTGACCCAGGGAATTCTGAAGGCCATGCTTTCGGGCAGAGCTGAGAATGGCTAGCAGCGACGCAACTCTGCAAAAGGAAACAGGTCCTGGGGGACAGCGGGGCATGACCAAGGCCACAGGCACAGCCAGCTGGGCCTCGAGCCAGGGGACTTTCCTCTCAAGCAGACCACATTCACCCTCACCGTTTCTGTCTACCTTGGGGTTAGCCCTTCGGGCCAAGGCCTGGCCCCTCTGTGACCTGTGCAGTGTCTGCCCTCACTCCCCTCTGTCCAGACTGGGTCTGGCTGCCTAGGTTTCTCTTCTGCAGTGGTTTCTAGGGACACAGGCCCCTGGTCTGAGATGAAGCAGATGCACAGAAACCTGGACACAGGAGAACCCCAGTCTTAGCCAGGCCCTGCTCCCCCACCTTTCCCAAGCAGGAATCCTGCTGCTCAGACTCGGGGTCTCCAGCATCCTTGCTGCCTGGAGCCCAAGCCAAGCTGGGTGAATACTCAGAGCAAAGGTGCAAACTCTGCACATGGGGCAGAGATAGTCCCAGGACCCTGTAGTCTGAGCCTGGAAGAGACTTTAAAGGCCTCTGTTGCCCTCTGTGGGATCCTCCGGCTCTGCTTGCATCCTTCCAGGGATGGGGAGTTGTGCCCTCTGAGCTTCGTCCCTGTTCCCAGACCAGTGTCGGGTCTGTGTGAAGGCCCTGCTCTTCCGCCTGCTCCTCAGCAGGCGGCAGCAGCACTCCTCGGGCTCTGGGAGGTGGCTCTAGTCAGCTGGAGCAGACACACAGGCAGTCTTGTGGTCTAATCGTGTGTTTCCACATCCGCCTGGGGTCCAACCTCAGCCTCAAGAACCGAGCCAGGGCAGGTGCAGCTGGCCCTGCGTCCCTGAGTCAGCCCCGCACCACACCTGAGCCACCCAGGAGCTGCTGACAGCAATGCAGCTGGGGGTGTGGGCTGGAGAGGGGCGGCGCCTCCACCACTCAGAGGCCCAGAGGCGGCAGGTGGCTGACTGCCTCATGGCTTGACCTCATGAGCCAACCCTCCCGCAGCGTGGACACCCAGGCCCCGAAGGGCACTCTGCTGGGGTCGGCCCTACCACAGCCCACAGCCCTCACCTTTGACGGTCAGAATGACAGCTCCCACCACCATGATGAGTGTTTGCAGGGCGTCTGTGTAGATCACAGCGGCCAGGCCTCCTGTGGGAGAAAACATGGAAGCTGGAGGGGCCCTCGTCTCGAGGGAGAAGAGACAGGGAAGCAGCCCAGTGCTCTGGGAGGGACCACTGTCCACATCCATGTCCCTGCCCTTTTGCAGGTGGGTGAGCTGTGGGACCAGGACACTCGGCCAGCAGAGCAGGACCACAAATCCAACCCTAAACCGGCCATGTCCCAGGCTGTGGGAGGAGGTGGCCCCTGCCTCCTGCTCATGCCCCTTGGCTCCTTGTAGCCTCTCAGATTCTGGCGCGTGTCCACCCGGCTGCCCCGATGCCGACCCTGCCTGGGAGCCATACCTGCAATGGTGTACAGGGCTGTGATGGCGAGCATGAGGAGCGTGGACAGGTAGAAGTTCCAGCCCAGGCAGATGTGCACAAAGAGAGCCCCCGCGTACAGGTCGATCTGGGATGGGAAAGACATCTCGTGTTGAGGTCCCAGGTGACTGTAGGACCTGGGACGCAAGTGAGCCTCTGCTTTGCTGTTCACTCACAGAGTGGCCTCCATGCCCCGTGGATAAGGAGGGGGAAAGCCCCCCAACCTGCCCGGGGCTGGATGAGGGAGGGAGGCGGTCCTGGCTGTGGACAAGCTGTACGTAGGGATGTTAGTGCTGTTAACAAGGTCCTACCAGGGAGCAGCATTGCTATTGAGTCTGGCCCTTGACAAGATGTGACGGGCAGAGCCCAGGCCCCTTGGTTCCCAGGGTGTCCTTGATGAGGAGGAGTCAGGAGGGCTTCCTGGGGGAAGACTAATAGGCCTCAGAAAACAGGTGCACATGCCTCGGTCTCCAGGCCCGAGTCTGTCTGGGTATGGCTCTGTTCTCTGCTCCCTATTAGACGGGGCTCTCCGAGAACAGACCAGGCATGGGCATGGGCGGGCTGGGAAACTGGGCAGTCTTACTCCATGCCCGCTGGTGGGATTGGAGCTGAAGTCAAGACCATGTGTTAGGCTGAGGCTGGTCCCCAGACTAGACACAGCCCCTGCCATCCCAGGACCCATTTGGGGCAAGAATCAGAGCTCCAGGGTGAGCTTCCAGGGCATGCTCCTACCCCCTGTGCAGCGGGGACCCAGAGAGCGGGAGGGCAGGACCCTGCCCTGAGGGACCTGGGTGCTAGGCACAGGCTCCACCCCCCAAGTTTTCTAACCTGCCCTTCTGTGCTGCCTACTAGAGGGGAGACAACCCAAAATAGCCTTTGGGGCCAAGAACATCCTGGGAAGGCTGGCGAGGCTGTGAGGCCATCTGCAAGGCCGGGGGCAGCAGCCCGCTGACCTACCCCAGCTCCTGGCCTAGCTTGGAGCTGCCGGCACTGCTGGGGTGAGGCTGTGGACCCCTGCCCTCCCAGGCCTCAGGGACACAGAGCCCAGGAAACTGGGTCTCACCCCAAGCCCATGTTCCTGTACCTCCCACTCCAAACTCCCCCTCCCCCTTCCTTTGGAGAGGAGACCAGCCAGTGCGGAGACCGGCAAGGTGCTGTCAGGCTTAGGCAGTGTGCGTGCGCATGCGTGTGTGTGTGTGTGCATGTGTGCATGTGTGAGTGTGTTGGGAGGCATCTGCCTCCAGCTCCCATGAGACCAGAGGAGAAACTGAGGCACAGGGAGGGGAATGGACTTGGCCAAGGTGAGGCCCAGGAAGAGGAACTGGAGGTGCCAGGTGAGAGCCCGCCTGGAAGGCTCTAGAAAGCAGCCCTCCTGCCTGGTCATCCTCTGGCCATCACTGAAGGCCCCTCCCTGGACCCAGCTGCCCTCAGAGCAAAGTCCCGGTCTGTGTGCCTGACCTTCGAGCTCTGGCACTTATCCCTTTAAGCACAGTTGACTCTGGTCACGCCAGACTGGCCTCCATCCAGTGCCCAGCACTTTGCTGCCTCCAGGCCTTGGCTCCCTCAGCTTCCGCCTCTCCTCTCAGGGGTCAGTCTCCGGGGCCCTGTTCCCTTTCCCCCTGCTCTCCAGGGACAGTGCTCCCTTCCTTCTCTGCCTATAGGCGATGACGAGGGGTCTGACAGGCAGCAGGGCCAGCACAAAGGTGTGAAGATGGGACATGAACTGCTGTCTTCCATCCAGGGTCCTGCACAACGTCAGCGAAAGTTTGCCGCTGTCACGAGAGGCCTGTGGCGGGAGTGCAGGTGCCTGCAGGATCCAAAGGAGCCCCCAGATGAAGAATTGCAGGTGATGCCCGCCTGTCACTGTCTGAGCTGCCTCTCCCCCAGGCGGTGCTCTCTCCCGCAGACGGGGCTCTGTCCCGCAGACGGGGCTCTCTCGTGTAGACGGGGCTCTCTCCCGCAGACTGGGCTCTCTCCCCCAGGCGGGGCTCTCTCCCGCAGGCGGGGCTCTCTCCTGCAGACCAGACAAGCTGCAACCTGGCAGACTCTCGGAGCCCTAAACCCAGAGTCGCAGGGACCGAGTCTGTCCCTGGTCAACTGTCCCCATCTAAAGGCTGCTTCACCTCCTGAGCCTCAGTGGCTCTCATCTGTAAAATGGGGGAGCAGTGTGGAAAGAACACAGGCGCTTGGGCCAGGGGCAGCCCCCTCATCCCTCTGGCCTCTGTAGACCCCCTACTGGCATCTCTCCTCTGTGCCTCCCTCCCTGGTGGCCTAGGAGCAGCTGTGGAGTCTCATCTGACCCCGTGTGGACAGAGAGAGGCAAGGCAGAGGGACTTGCCCCTGGTGGCAAAACCCTGGGAAGAAGATCAAAAGGACAGCAGCAGGGAACTTGAGTCTCAAAGGAAGGCCCACTCTCAAGGGCACACAGCTCACCAGGGCCTTGCTCCACCCTTGCTCAGACACCTGCTGTGGCTCCCCACTGCTTACGAATGGTGTGCAAGGTCATCAGTTTCCTCCTGTGATCTGACCCCAAACTCATTCCTCACCAACTGTCTTTACCACCTCCTGTTATTTCTTCCCAAGGGTGAGGCCCAGCCTGTGCCCACGCCATGCCTTTACTCACAGGGGCTTCCGCCTCTCGTCTTGTACCAGAAGACCCCCTGCCCCAGGAAGTCCCCGCCGGGTGCCTGGTAAACCTACGTGTGTGCCACACGATGCCCGAGCGCTTTATTCTCATTTTAGGCTTGGTGTCCTACGAGGTTGGCGTCATGATCCAGTCCCCTCCCCAGAGGAGGCGCCACCACTTGGACTGAAACAACTCGCCTAAAGCCCTGCAGTCATGAAGCAGCACCCAAGGCAGCAGCCTTCCGGCTGGGCTGACCCTGGGGACCGTGCGCTCCCAGGTCCCTGGAGAGAGAGGACCCCATTTTGGCACCATCTCGTGGAGCTTGAAAAAAACTGTGACTCTAGGACACCGGAGTGAGCGAGGCTAAAGTAGTGCGAGGGAGCTGCTCCACTGAGCTGACTTGCAGGCTGGGCTGACCTGCTGAGCCCCATGTCCCCACGAGCATGTGCCCCCCTGCCTGAACCCGCACCCTGCATGGGCCACCTCCCTACCCAGGTGGTAGCCAAGAAGCTGGGGTGGTTCACAAGTTTACCATGTGATTTCCCCCCAAATCATCCTCGGTGTCCCCTGCTCCCAAACCCTGCCCAACTCCGTAGAAGCCATAACAATCCCTTCAGGGTTTCAGAAACTTCTCTCCTTTGCCACACTCTGGACCTGATCTACCAGCCACACCTGCGAAATAGTCCTCCGCACCTGCGCTGCCCCTCACCACCCTCCTGCACTGGGCTTGTTCGGAGGAAGCTCGGAGGGAGCTTGGAGGGAGCTCGGAGGTCTGCGTTTCCACAGCACGCAGAGTGAAACCACTGCTGGCCTCCCCGCCATGGCTCCCCCTCCCTCAGCTCCTGGCTCCACGCCGCACCCACAGCCTCCGGCTGCTGCCAGCCCCGCATTTTCATCCCAGACCACTCCGAAGCCACGTCCCCACTACTGTCCTCTCACTCTAGATTTCAGCCCAGCGTTCGCTTCTTTTATCACACTCTTACTTACTACTGTGATTGCACTGGTCTGTTTACGTCCCTCGTCTGCCTGGAACACGAGCCCCTGACAGCAGAGACGTGCATCACCCAGGCTCAGACAGGGCCTGGCACACCGCAGGAGCTCAACGGATGCGCACTTTTGCATGGACTGCAGCGAGGACTGGCACACAGGCGATGGGCTTTTGCACTCCAGTGGCAAAGCTGAAAACTGCTGGCCCCCGAACAACATGGGAGTTAGGGGCCTCGACTCCCGTGCAGCTGAAAATCCAAGTATAACTTTTGACTCCGCAGAGACGAAACTCCATCCCTCAGTACCTGCAGGGGATTGATTCCGGGACTCTCACGGACAACAAACTCCACTCAATTTCATTATATAAGCGGTGGAAGAACAGCACATCCCATTGGCCCTTCGCCTCCAGGGACTCCCAGTCGTGGATGCAGAAGCCAGGGCACGGAGAGCCAACTGTGTACTCACTGAAAAAGCCCATGTGTAAGCGGATCTGTGCAGTTCAAACCCATGTCGTTCAAGGGTCAACTGTAGTTTGCATGTGGCCTGCAAAGCCACAAATATATATTACAGGGCCTTTACAAAAAATGTTAGCTGATCCCTGGCATACATCGTCTCATTCATTCCTATGAAGTAGGACTAGAGATACATCAATGAACAAAGAGAAAAATGGGGGAGGCAGACAACAGACATTTTAAGTAATCTATTCAGCATACTGGAAGATAGTACCTGTATGAAAACGAGGGGGCAGGTAACACAGTCCAGTCCTGCTGGGGCGGGAGTAGGCCTCACTGAGAAGGTGAAATTTCAAAGACTTGAGAGGAGTGAGGGAGTGAGCCATGCGGCTATCCCGGGAAAGAAGGTTCCAGGTAGAGGCCATAGCAAGTGCAAAGGCCCTGAGGCAGGATCAAGCCTGGGATGTTAAAGGAATTGCGAGGAGGCCATGCTGGCTTGCTGTGTGTAACGGAGAAGAGGGAGAGGTAAGGTCAGTGATGTAAGGGGCTGCATCTGGAAGGACCCTCTAAGGCCACAGTTGGCCTTTACTCCAAGAGGCCTGAGGTGTCACACCAGGTTTCTCTACTTTCCAGAGATTAGATTAGCCCAGAGCCACACAATGATGGAGTTGGACCTTGGTTCCCCTTAGCCCCATAGGGTCAGTGAGGTGCTCTCTGCACCCTGACATCGCAGGTTCTCTCTGCAGGCCAGGGTCCCCACCTGAGGAATGGCAGCAGCCAGGCTCGGTGGTCTCCATCCGGGCCAGCTGCGTCTGGGCTGGGTCCTGGCAGTACAGACACGTGGGGCATCTCTGGGTCTGAGCCCAGTGTGGTCAGGGTCCTGGGAGGCCGGCTGGGCACATGCCCTTTCAAACGGCTTTGACCTAGGGCCATCAGCCAGGGTGGCCCCACGCCCTCCCAAACCAAGCCTGACATCTAGTGCTCCCTCGCTGCTTCCTCTGGGCAGCCCCAACATGCTTCTGA